GGAGACGACGCCCCCGCCGACGAGCTGAGCCTGGGCTAGCGAGCATGCCTGTATGCCAACCAACCTTACCCCAACAGTCAGCGACATAACAGATTTGTGGTGGGAAAAAGACTTTTCCATTACTAATCGAAACGTAAACAAAAAATTGTTGACCAAAATTGAAGAACATCGAAATCAATGCTTGGATTTTTAAGAACCTTGAAAAAAACTTTATAATCTGGAAATGGAAGAGGAATGTCAAAAGATAAGTCAGCAGAGTAGACGTGTTTTTGAGTAACTGGAGTTTATTCCGAGTTTTATTAAATCCACCGGGTGTTAATTTACTAAAAAAAAACCACAACAATCTTTGTAAGCGGTTCTGCTGTCCGTGTAAATCGAAATTGCATAAACTTTAAATTAAATTGAATTTAAAACCTTTGTTAAATTTCCGTGTATTGTTTGGTCTGTCTAATATGCCAAAAATGTCAACACGAACAACGACCGCGAGCAAAGTGTACCCATCTCCGCAAACCCCTCCAGTACAGAGTAAGTGTCTCATTACTAATGTTTCAAGCACTGCTTTGAATGCGTGGTTTGTGAAATTTGAGAATCACCTAGTCTCAAAAGCTGAGCATAATTGAACAGCTAACGTTACGATTAAGAGAATCGGAAGAGCGAGTAATGGAGCGGTTCAGCGAGTTGTCAGCAGAAATTATAAACTTGAAATCGGCGGTTAAGCACATCGAGGAGCGTGTGAAAAAAACGGAATCGAAATGTGGTAATGTTGAGAAACTGCGCAACGAGGTATATGCCCTGACCGAACAAGTAAATGCCTATGAGAACAATCTAATATCATCGGATGTTATTGTTAGTGGATTGTCCGAAAGAAAAGATGAGAACATTCTTAATGATTTCGCCCAGCTGTGTCAAACGCTTCAAGTGAAACTAGCGCCAGTGCGTTCTGCCTTCCGCTTACGACCTAATGGTAAAAGCGAAGCTCCCGTTATCGTCAAATTGAGCTCGGCTGCAGATCGCTCTCAACTACTGAGAGCTGTAGCGAGACACTGCAAAGATAAGACACGGTCGCTTGCTCTTAGCGATGTTGGCCTCAGTATCGAAGGGAAGCTATTTATCCACGAATGTTTTACGAAAAGAAATCGAGAGCTAATGCACTTTGCTACCCAGCTCAAGAAGCAAAAAATTCTAACGTCGGCGTTCTCTATTCGTGGGCAAGTGTTCGTCAGAGGTCGTCCGCAAAATGAAGCTGTAGTAGTAAGCGACAAAGTGACTATAGAGAGAATTGCAGCTGCCAAGAAGTAAACAAACATTTGTTAATCATTTATTTCGGAACGAATTTCCGTCATCCCTTGTCAAGTTTGGTTTGCAGACAAACCGGTTTCGGCATTGTGCCATCTTCATTTGTCATTTTTCGTTCTGTCTGGTTCGAGTTTTTGTCCTTAATTTATGTTCATTTATCTTAATTAATTATTAGAAATGCCATGGTGTCCTTTTTTATTTCAGAAACAGGAAATAGGTTGCTAGGTTCGCTGTCTCGATATTAACATCCGTTATGTTGTCTCTGTATTGTTTTTGCCTGCAGGTGGGTAAAAGTCGGTGATTTTTGTCCGGGTGGTACTTTGTGGTGTGTTCGGAGTGTCCATGCCTGTTGTTTTGTTGTCATTTTTCTTTTTCTCGTAAATTTATTTTAAGGGTTCCAATATAACATCCGATGCGGTATTTGTTTGTTCGTTTATTATTTTGCCGTCGAAGGTTTTTAGTTTTTACATTTCCATATTTTCTAGTACGTTTAGTCGTTGGCCTTTATGTTGTACATGCAGTAGTTTCGCTGACTTTCTTATTTGCGTTGGTGAACATTTGTTGTTAAACATGTGGTTAGCAAAATTTTACTCTGGTATTCCACTCTGTTTCTGTGTCTTTTTGTTATAGTCCCTTATATGTTCGCGAAATCTTGTTTTTATTTTCCGTCCTGTTTGACCTATATAACTATGCTGGCATTTGCAAGTTAGTTTATACACTCCTTGTTTATCCAATGGGTCTTCTCGATTTTTGGTGTTCCGTAGTATCCGTCCTACGTTGTTATTTGTTCTGAATGATGTGCGAAGGTTGTGTTTCTGGAACAGCTTTGCTAGTTTGTACGTTGACTTTCCAGTATAGGTTAATACCGCCCAATTTCTGTCATTGTTTTTTTCTTTGTTTGGCTTTCTGTTTTTGTGCTCCCTTCGGATTTCCTCTACCAGATCTCTCTTGTATCCGTTATTAGCCGCTATGGCATATATTGCGTTCAGTTCGTTTTTGTATCCTTCTTTTGTTAGTGGTATTTGCTCAATTCTATTGATCATTTGTCTAAAGGCGGCTTTTTTATGCTGATGAGGGTGGCTCGAAGTATTATGTATTATTGTATCTGTGGCTGTGGGCTTCCTACAAATTTCATATTGCAGACTACTGGTGTTTTTATTTACTTTGATCGTCAGATCTAAGTAATTTAGCTTTCCTTCCATTTCTTGTTCCATTGTGAACTTTATGTTGCTGTGCTGTTTGTTGAGGTATTCCAATATCTGTTCTTCATTTTACTTTGTTATAAGACATATGATGCCATCAACGTATCTGGCGTAGAACGTCGCTCCTAGTTGTGACGTAAGATACTCCATGTACCTTTCTTCCAAATTCTGCATGAATACCTCCATAAGAATCGCCGATGTGGGGTTGCCCATGCCTAGCCCGTTTGTTTGCATGTATACGTTGTTATTAAATTTAAAGTAGTTTTGTTAATCACTTTGCGTTGTATCCACACTGTTATGTCTGAGCTAATATTCTCTTATATGTCATTTGTGTGCTTAATATTCTTTGCTTTGCAATGCAATCTTGTTTATTGTGATCTCACTTATATTTATTTCCGTATTCCCTTGCAATGTAATCTTTTTTGTTCTGATATCATTTAAATTTATTTCCGCATTCCCTTGCTTTATTTAAATCCCACCACCTTTTCTTCTAACTGCCAGTTTAAATACACCTTGCATACCCTCTCAACCATAAGCTGCCAATCTGTAACATGCAAGAGGAATGCTTAAACTAATCCAATCGCTACAATGGGTTCAATGTTTGTCACTTGAATGCGCGAAGTTTGAATGCTGAGAAAATTGACTATTTAAATTTTGTTTTTGATAGTTTGAACATCGATCTGATATGTATCACAGAGACATGGTTTAGAGATCATATTGATGATAAAGCAGTTTCTCTGTGCGACTACACACTAGTAAGATGTGATAGGACAACGAGGACTCGAGGTGGTGGCATTGCCCTATATTTTAAAAATAATTTTAAATGGAAAGAGATTTGCAGATCAGATCACTCACAGGTATTAGAGTACATTTTTGCTGAATTTTATGATAATAACACCAAGTGTCTTGTTGCATGCATTTACAACCCTAGCAAAAGAAATGACATCTCAGTGATATTTGATAAATTGGCGAATATCGCCATCTTCTATGAGCTTATTGTTGTATGTGGTGACTTAAATATAGACCTCCTGTGTAATGATTTTTATTCCAGGAGTTTGATAGATAGCTTTCAATCGTTAGGAATTTCAATCGTAAATAAATACGCTTTGCACCCCACAACAAACCGAGTCTTTTGGATGTGTTCGGCGTCAGTGACAGAGATCACGTCAATCACTTTGATCAGCTTCCCATGGCTGGAGTCTCTGATCATGAGTTGATATTCCTATCCTACAACATTCAGCTCAATACGCAAAATCAAGCAAAGGAGTTGTTTTTTAGAGATTATAAGCGTATTAGCCCTGATCTCTTAAACAAGGAGGCTGCTGGGCTTAACTGGAATATGTGTTGGTCATTCGCAACAGTTGATGAAAAGCTGCAACATTTCAATGCACTAGTCAGCCATCTATTTGATAGGTTTGTACCAGTGCGTAAAGTGAAAGTGCGTAGTAATAAGAAACCATGGTTTAACACCCGAAATACCTGCTAATGTTTCTCTACGGGAGCATGCTGATGATGATGAGTTTGAATTTGTATCTGCAACAGAGGCGGACTTGATACAGTGTGTATATGCGGTAAAGTCGTATGCTATATGTACTGATGGTATTTGTCTTAAATTCCTTAAAATTATCCTACCATTTGTAATACCATCACTTACGCATATAATCAACTTCTCACTTGCCTCATCTACATTTCCATATCTTTGGAAGATGGCAAATATAATACCTGCACCAAAAGAAAACTGTCCTACCACTCCCCAGGACTTCAGACCAATAAGCATTTTACCGGCCCTATCAAAAGTTTTTGAGAAATTTTTAGCGCGACAAATTACCTGCCACTTGGACAAAAATAATCTTCTGAATAATTTCCAGTCGGGTTTCAGAAGTCAGCATAGTTGCTCTACAGCCATGCTTAAAATTTTTGAGGACGTTCGCCCTGCCTATGATAAAAATTATCTAACAGTGTTAGTGTTGCTCGATTTCTCTAAAGCTTTTGATAGTATTGATCACAACATTGTTTGGTAACATTTTGTTTGGTAATAGCAAAAATATGTGTCATTATGCTCTAAAAACAATCTGTGTGAAAGATGAAAATTGTTGGTCAATATCTTAGGCTCGCCCAAGTCCATCATAGTTCAATGTACACACAAAATAAAAATTAATAAATATATTAACACTTTTTTTGACAAAAATTGCAAGTATCTGCGAAAGTATTAGTCATACTTAATTTGGTATATGGACCTTTTTGTAGAGAATCGAAGTAAGCTAAGAAATTTTTTTTTTTATCACTTGAGCGAGCCTAAGATATTGACCAAAAATTTTCATCTTTCACAGAGATTGTTTTTAGAGCATTATGAACAATATTTTTGCTATTACCAATCAAAATTCTAAAAAAGCGGATTTTCGGCCCACGCTAATACATATACATATGTGCAGGACGGCCAAGAGAAAATGCGTTTTCCAATTGCAATTTGCTAAATAAAAATTAAAATAAAAAATGCTAATGTATTATGAATACACTCCGATTTATTTAATACAGGTTAAGGTCGTCTAAATAGAATTGTATTAAATAAAAACATACAATATGTTTAAAGATCAATCTGGGTTTATTTAAGATTAACTATTCAGTTGTTACGAAAAATCCAACGTCCCATCACATGTAAATAAAATTGAACCTGAAATAAATCAAAGAGAAGTAAACAGTTATACAAATAATATTAAACGATTAACTCTTACCTGCATAAAGCCTGTGGAAGTGATGATATTATTGGGCCATAACCTTGTGAGTTGTCATAGAGTTCAAATAAGGGTGCTGCTACGAGTTTGTAATTTTTAGGGACGGCAAAGAGGGCTATAAAAAGTAGGAAAAAAAAACAAAAATATTATTTTATTCATTTCGTTTTGCTTTATTTCTTAAATTAATATTTCATAATGTGTCTTATTAGAAAAATATGGTTACATAAAGCTTATTCCTTTCCAAATGAGGTACAAAAGAACACTCGTTTAAAACTCGACATGAAACTACAACACAACTCTTGCACTATACTGATTATTAGGGAAGACAAAAATATGCACAAAAAACTTAATTATATGATCATTAAAATGACTCGAAAATATTATGTTAATGATCTCTGTGATAAGATAAATCGGGATATTTTATCAATAATGCACCTGGCTCAATTTGAATTCAAAGCGAATTCGGTTGAAATTCACTCGGGAAGTTGCAGAACGTGCAACGTGCAATTTTGAAGGGGCTACAAACTACCGTTGATTTTTGGCAACGGTGTTGCGCATTTTCTTCCGTATAATGAATGTTCGCCCCAAGTCAACGGTAGTTTGCAGCCACTGAATGCAAAATATGTTTCTAAAAAATCGAATTAAAAGGCTTGAGATTTTAAAGAAATTTTGGTGATTTTTTAAATTTATGTACATACATAGTTTAACTCTTAATTAGGCGCATGGGGTCAAGGCCATTTCAAGTTGAACAAAAAGTTCCTGGAGTGCTTGAAGCGTGCTCGCGCTCTCTCTAGCTTCCTTACTCACCGCGGGGTACGTAAATTAGTCACTGCCAAAACATCGGCCTGTACACATGCGTCGCTACTCTCTTAAGTCCAGTAAGGTCACCCATGTGACCACTCACGTAACATTTTTTGGCGGAGGTAATTTTTTATTTTTGTATCCAAGTTTGAAGTCAAAGTTATGCTTTTATTTCTTAAAGTATGATAAGGAGGTTTAATATTATTGACATTACACATTTCGTTGTATTTATTTATTCACGGCTAGAACGTAGTCGCGTACACATGTGTCGCTACTCTCTTTAGTGCTGACCCGATACGACCACTAACGTAACATTTTTTGGCGGACGTAAGTTTTTATTTTATTTTTTTAACGGCTTCAAAAAAAGGAGGGGGTTATCAGTTCGTCGGAATATTTTTTTTATGTAAGTTATCGCATAACTTTGGACCACGTTAACCGATTTCGATAATCCTTTTTCCATGGGAAAGGTGCAAGGGTGGTCCCATACTAAGTTTGTTTAAATCCGATAATTGGATTGTGAAGAAATTAAAGTCGGTTTTGTTTTTTGCTTAAAAATTACTTGCGTAAGTTTAAAGTCGAAATAATTTTTTTTTTTTTTTGTTTTTTAAGTTAACTATAATAGACTACTTAAATATTTTTGAAAAAACACACTTCGCTTTTTTATTTCTAAAACTCGACCAAACGACCAATTGTGTGATTTTCTTTATGCGCCTAATTAAGGGTTAATACCTAAACATACATATGTATACGGTTTTGGTATATAATAAAGTATATTTTAATTAAAAAGAATAAAAGTGAAATAATAAAAGAGTAAATAGTCAAAGCTTGTCAATATGTGTACAGCTTCGATAAGAACCTTATAAGTGAGAGGCTAATAAAGAAAGAATGTTACGACATCCGATATCATAGAACCAATACGGTTATCTTTTTTTTAAGTAAAATTTAAGGTTCCTTCTTTCTATAAAAGTTCAATATACAGATTTATTAGCAAAACACAATACATGAAAGGACGGTTGATATTTTCGGAATTTACTTAGTACTATTTTTGTGCACTTTATTACAGCATCCGACGCTTTCCATCCGCACGGATCTAATCCGATTCGCATTGTCGTAACAAGCGAGTGTAAGAATTAGACTCGTGCGAATGGCATAATTTTGACCTTAATAGGCATGTATCTAACTGATGTCATTAGCACAAATCTAATACTTCCCACTCGGTTGTTATGACGGTTCGAATCGGATTAGATCCTTGCGGATGGGATCCGTCGAATGCTCCTATTATGTATGTAGGTTAGGTTAGGTTAGAGTGCGTTGAAAATTGTTACCGGGAGTTTTGATTAAAAATACAAAATCAGCCTTATTAGGAGTTTCATTTTCCTCGAACCGGTTCACTTTTAATTTCCGTGTATTTACTACGGGCGGATGAAAAAATATCATGCGAAACTCACGATAAGGCTGAATGAGAATGTTTCGGCGTACATTTCTTTTGCGAATATGGTTCGATTGCTTCGACGATAGTTTGAATTCTTAGACATTGTACTTTCAGTGTTCGTAAACAATTCGCCGATCAGAATATGAAACTTTGGCGATTAGCAGTGCAAATCAAAATCCTCAGCAACGCGCCCAATTTAATGAACAGCTTTAAGTGCATGCGTTGCGAATTTATGCAGGACGACCTGGAAACAAATTGTTTTCGTTGGCAACTCTGATATAGAAATTGATCAGCGTTGTGCGATTAACTGTGCTATGAAACGCAAGATCATTGGAAAATTGCAAGAACTTCGTAACTGTCACAACGCCTTTGGTTAAGTTATTTGAAATGGCAATGGAAGATATGCCTTCTCACGACCACAAAACCATAATCAGAGTAGATAAATGTGCATTAAGTGAATAGATGATGAAAGTGTTATAATAATAATAATAATAATCCCAACGGGTTTTACCCTCCATTCCCGCCCATCCGCACGAGGGGCGCAGTCCGCATGACGTACGGAACCAATATTTTCAATTTTTGCGCCGAGTCACGATAGGCAGGAGTTTGTTAAGTGTCGAGATCTAAAACTGTTCAGCTACAGAACTAAATTCATCAGCTGATTTTATGTCTATGTTAATAATTCACTTATTGAGAGAGTATAGTATCGCTTTCTTAATGCTGAAAAGCGAATCAGATATATCAAATGTGCTGGAATGGGAGTTAAAATCCTGGCATAAGCAACGGAGTGGCTCGTGTAATTCAAAACTAGTTTTACAAGTTTTCAAAAATAGGGGATAAAAGTGTCTTGATACACGGGAGGGAACATTAAGGCTAACTTCACCTAGAAGAAGCGGACTTGAAATTGAGCCTGCCAGTAATTTAACCATAAAAATTGTACCAAGCATTTCCCTGCGACTGACAAGTGTTGGAGGATTAATAAGTTTTAATCGGCTCATATAAGGCGGAAGGTTATATTGAGAATCCCAACGGAAATTTCTTAAAGCAAAAAGTATGAATTATTTTTGGATTGATTCTATCTTGTCTGAGTAAATTTGAAACCTTGGATTCCAAACCACCGAACCGTATTCCAGAATCGGTCTAACTAATGTTGTAAACAGGGTTTTGTGATATAAGGGTCACTAAATTCTTTTGACTATCGTTTCACAAATGCAAGTACACCTTTAGCCTTGTTGACTGTCACATTAATGTGAAGATTAAAATTAAGTTTCGGATCCATTGTGATACTAAGGTCCACAAAATTGCATACCTGTTCCAAATTATGGTTATCTATTGTATAACAAAGTGGCTGAATAGCTCTTCGCGAGAATCACATTACTTTATATTTGCAATTTTCTATAAAAAAAAATGTTATCGCCACTTTTGTTCGTAAGAATTACCTTTTCTAAGATATAGCGATTCAAAAAGTTGTGTTCTCCACAATAATCTCAACTGCCAATCTACTTATGGGGTAGCGTAGGTGTCTTTGATGGTCGATTTACACACACGCGACATCGCAAAAGCGTCGACTCGTAGGAGTTCAATTTCACCAATACTGGAATACGGCGCTCCCAAACAAAGGCCGAAAGGAGTCACAAACTCCGCACTCAACAAAGCCATAGCACCACCGGGAGCCTAACCAAAAATAGCCCTACGTGGAAGCAGTTATCAGGTGCATCGGCACCCACCAACAGTAGAATTAAGATACCCCCTGGGTCCAAGAAGTCCAAAGGCCAATATGCTACGCACAAAAGTAGCATTGGACGGGAGGCCTGCACGGCAAACACCGGAAATCTTTGGCCTTCCTGCTCGCCATTTAGCGAACAGCATCTGGCGACCTGCAATGGGGCCAAGGACTTTATCCGAACTGGCCCAGCGAAGGCTACTCACCGGTCAGGACAAGGAGGAGGTCTTAGTGAAGGTACAGGAAGACATAGCGTGGGCTAAGAAGATTATCCCGGACTTTAACCTTAACCTATATGGCAAGACTGAGACTGAAAAGCGTCAGAGACCCGTGGAGGAAGCCCCGGCATTGGCGCCGAAAAAGGCCAAGACACAAGGTGCCTGGATCCTTTACGGAGATAGCCAGGACCGGAAGGTTATTGGCGTCATAGACGAAAGTAATGAGCAACCAATGGAGGTGGTCCAAGCCGTCATGGCAAAAGTGGAGAAGGAGATTAAGAGTGAGAACCCTGGATACCATCCTGGTGCATGGATGCTGGCTGGCTAGGAATTTTTGGAATGCGAATGTTAGTAATAACATTAAAAAAGCTTTAATCAACTTAAGTCATCGTTTTATAAATTATTAGAACATTGAACCAGTGCTTAACCTACACAGTGTTTTAATCTAGTAGTCTAAGTTCAAAAGGGCATATTACCTTTCAGAAAAAGTAATTTGGCTGCCTTTTCTCTCATGAGGCGATTTCTTAGATGCTCGTATATAAGGCCGGCTGCACTGAACAATTGTTCACTTTCGACGAATAAAGAACAAAAATTAATTAATACGTAATTTTGATTTATTTTGGAACGAATTACCGTCATCCCTTGACAAGGTTGGTTTGCAGACAAACCGGTTTCAGCGTTGTGCCATCTGCAGTGTCATTTTCCGTTCTGTTAAAATATGTAACTATTAACACAACTACGTAAAATATGAATAGCGCTGAAATATTTTACAGCTCATCACAAAAAGAGGATAAAGTCCAAACGTTAATAAAAATGTGAACACATTTGAGGGCGCCCAATTAGGTCCAGATAATTCCATTTTCTACGACATGGAACTGCGTACAAGGGTTGTTTTTCCTTCAAAATACTAAACGTTAAATTGAAACAACCTTTAACATAAG